GGTGGCCCCGCCTCTGTTATGGTGGACTCTCTCTGTTGTGGCAGGTTGCCTCGGCAACGGCGGGTTGCCCTCGGCAACGGCAGCCTGCCTCCGTAGTGGTGGAGAGTCTCAGTAATGGTGGAAGCCCTCCCCCACTGAGCGGGACCCTCCCAGTTCAGCTGTGCTTTGGTTTGAAGGGCTCAACCCAGAGGGTTTCCAATTACTGTTTTTGTTTTCGTTGTTGTTGGGGGTGGAGGGGTGGGACCAACCGAGCCTGATCACCTGGCTCCCTGACTCAGAGTCTTTTCTTTTAAGTTGAACGACCCAGCGCTCTGGTCGCTTGTTGAAAAGGCGCCGGGATCTCCCGTGCTGCGACTCACAGAGTGGGCTCGAACTGCAGCGCCGGCTCCTAGCGGATTTTTTGCCTAGGAATCTCCTGGCCTGACTCGCTATTTCAGATGAATGGGCAACTCTGCCGTCTCAGGGCTCTGCTCGCCAGCTAAGAGGGCTCCCAGACCAGTGGCTTTTGTACGGAGAACCACAGCAACAGGGAGTGGTCACAGCAGCCGCGCGGGCGGAATCAGCCCTGCGGGGGCCAAAACAGCCGCACCAGCTTGGACTGCGACGCTGGCGACCCCTCTGCCTGGGTATCTCCTGGTCTGTGGGAAATAAGAGTTCGTCTGGAAATGCGGCGTCCACTCACCCTCTGCACTTTCACTGAGAGCTGAAGTCCTGAGCTGTTCTTAGGCGGCCATCTTCCCAGCATTCCTCGATAAATTGTTATATATTTATGAGGTACAAAGAAATGTTGTGATTTATTAGTACAATATGGAATAATAAAATAAAGCTAATTAGCATATTCATCACCTCAAAATATTTTCATTTTTTGTGTCAAGGCCATTAGAAATTTACCTTAGCTATTTTGAATTGACCAATATACAATATTTAAGTAAATAGATATTAATATAAACAATGTAAAATTGTTGAAATCAATTATTAATTGATTTCATAGAACTCCAATAGTTTATATTTAGTTCATCAATAAGTTTGATCATTTAGAAAATATTTTAAAATGTATTGTATTATAATTTTAAATATAAATGACTACACGTTTATGAACAGGTTTGTCGTATTAGACTTATGTCTATAGTTGTAAATTTATGTTCTCACAGCCATAGTTGCTGATAGTAATAGATGATAAAACTCTGGAAGAATAACTGCAAATAATTAGAATTAATTATTCCTTGAATATGTACATAGTATACATATGCATATTTTAAATCTATCTATCTATCTATCTATATATATATAAAATTTTGAGTTTCGCTCTTTTTGCCCAGGCTGGAGTGCAATGGTGTGATCTCGGCTCACTGCAACTTCCGCCTCCCGGGTTCAATCGATTCTCCTGCCTCAGTCTCCCAGGTAGCTGGGAGTACAGGCTTGCCACCACACCCGGCTAATTTTGCATTTTTAGTAGAAACGGGGTTTCTCCATGTTGGTCAGGCTGGTCTCAAACTCCCAGCCTCATGAGATCCACCCTCCTCGGCCTCCCAAAGTGCTGGGATTACAGGCGTGAGCCACTGTGCCCAACGTTAAGTATATATATGTATTTAAAATACTGCACAAAATGTTTAAAATTATTAAAACTTAAATACCAATGATAATAAATACATACTAAATAACAGTATAAAAATATGACAACCTGCAAGACTCCAGACTTCTGACTTCTCCAGCTGTGGAGAAAGGACCCTCCCCCTGCACCTGCTCCTGGGGCCCGCCCCGTCCTCGGTGGGTCCCGAGCGCCCCCTGGCGGCCCCGCGCGCCCCTGCAGGAGGTTTGTGTCCGGGCCCACAGGGGCCTCCCCTCACTGTGTCTCTCGCACAGTAATACACGGCCGTGTCCTCGGCTCTCAGGCTGCTCATCTGCAGATACAGCGAGTTCTTGGCGTTGTCTCTGGAGATGGTGAATCGGCCCTTCACGGAGTCTGCGTAGCCTGTGCTACCACCATTAGGATTAATTTCTCCAACCCACTCCAGCCCCTTCCCCGGAGCCTGGCGGACCCAGCTCCATGTAGTAGCTACTGAAGGTGAATCCAGAGGCCGCACAGGAGAGTCTCAGGGACCCCCCAGGCTTTGCCAAGCCTCCCCCAGACTCCACCAGCTGCACCTCACACTGGACACCTGCGAACACAGAGACATCCTGGTCATTAACTGGCACACAGACCCACTGTTCCCCTCACTCATGTCCACACACACTCAGTATCTCTAGTTCTCCGTGAATCACCTTTTAAAATAGCAACAAGGAAAACCCAGCTCAGCCCAGACTCCATGGTGAGTCCTCTGTGTTCAGTGCTGATCAGCAGGTAGAGACAGCTGGGAATCCCAGGGCTGGGGCTCCTCTCCCAGAGCTGCAGGGTCAGGGCCGGGCCGCTTTTCATCAGCAGAAAGGCGGGCCTGATTTGCATGTCTTCTGCTACATAGCGCGCTGTGGGGTGGGACGCCTGAGGAGAGGGCTCTGCGCAGAGTAGACGGGGATGTCCTGGGGCTAGTGGTAGTAATCCTATCATTCGGGAAAACGCAATTTCATGATGTAATTGTGGCTTGATAATCATTTAGCAGTCGTCATCTTATCTCATTTTTGCATATTTGCACACTGTATTTCCCCTTAGATATTTCCGAAGTCCCTCGGCCTGTCTGATTGAGTGATGTCTCTTTCCTCGACACTGTGACGGTATGATGTCATCGCTGACAGGTGCAGTCCTGGATGTGCACGCGGTTTCCATGGAAATGCTGTCATTTGGCGGAGTTGTCCTTTGAGAGCCTAGTTACCTGGGTTTCCTGCTTGACCGTTGGTGTCTCTTAGCATACCACCCAGACGTTACGCTCTGCTCATTTCTGGCAGAGTGACGCTGTTTTGTAACATAAATTGATCAACAATCTGATGCAATTACATCCGGGTTTCTTCTCAGGGGCAGTTTTTGAGGTTTGTCCTGACCCAAAATGTTATTGTTTTTTTCTTTTCTTTCTCAAGAAATGGAGTCTTGCTATGTTTCCAGGCTGGGCTCAAAATCCAGGGCTTCAGTGATCCTCTTACCTCAAACTCCCAAGTAAATGGAACTACAATACAGGCAGTGCCACAGTGCCCAGCTGCTGGTTCTTACATTATGGATTTTCTCATTCTCTCTGTTAAAATGAGTGGACTACTGTTTTGTGTATTGCTCTCATGGAGCAGCCAGCTTTCTGTTAATTACTTACCACGAAACAGCTAAAATTTCATATGAACTTTAGGATTGAAATTATTCTCAATTGACTGCAAATCAAGTCACACCCTTTAGAGAGCTTCTTATCACTGTTTTTATGCTCTGCCTCTATCATAATAAAAATATACCAGGCTCTACCTTGGTGCGGAAGAAAGGGTTCAAGTATCTCAGAGGGACACTCTTGTTTTAAGAACAGGAAGCTGTATGTGAGGGTGGACTCTTAGAGTCTCACTGTGCCTCTCCCAGAAAGTGCTCCAGATCCTCTACCCTACAGGTGATTTTACATATATATATAAAATTAGGTGTGATATTAATTCTGTCAAATACTATATAAAATATGATTTCTATTTCTATACTATATATAGTTAAATATATTTATAGTATATGGTAGAACTGTCTATCTATCTATCTATCTATCTATCTATCTATCTATCTATCTATCTATCTATCTATCTACCTACCTATCTGCCTCAAACTTGTCGTAGACCTCTCATAAAATGAATATTGAGATGTTTTATAGATTAACTGGAAAACTACCACACGGGAACCATTTATTTTTCTTATATTTCACTCATAATTTATAAATTGACCAATTCCCACCTAGAAATTATGATATGGTTTGTCTCTGTGTGTTCGCCCAAAGCTCATCTGGAATTGTAAACCCCAAGGGTCAGGAGAGGGGTTTGGTGGAGGTGATTAGATTGTGGGAGTGGTTTCCTCCATTCTGTTCTCCTGGCAGAGTTCTCAGGAGATCTGGTTGTCTGTTAAGTTAAGTTTGTGGCTTTTTCTCCTCCCTCTCATTCCTCTCTCTCTCTCTCTCTCTCTCTCTCTCTCTCTCTCTCTCTCTCTCCCTGCCGCCTTGTGAAGAAGGTACTTGCTTCCCTTTCACCTTCCACCATGATTGTAAGTTTCCTGAGGCTACGCAGCCACACAGAACTGTGAGTCAATTAAACCTTTTTGCTTTAAAAATTACCCAGTCTCAGGCAATATATCTATAGCAACATGAAAATGAATGAATACAGGTGCTTTCCCATAAAAAGTAATTGTTAGTTAAATAAACATTTTTACCATGAGCTAAAACACAGTCTTCATGCTGACTAAATATGCGTGTTGATTTTGACATAAGAACCATCAAGTTGTAGATGATGTCATACTCCGAAAAATAACCCACGTTCAAGGAGTTAACTGCAAAATTATATTTACCTCGGTTTTGCTTTGGAACAAGAAAATTGAGAGTTACAGATGATGTGGTGGGTGGTCTCCTTAGGGTTGGATGCTGTTAAGGAAAGGAAGGCAACCCAATATTGTAGTCAGAGGTTCTCCAGCTGGTTCCTCACTGCACCTGCTCCTAATTGGGGCTATGTCTTGGCTGAGTTCTGAGCATCTCCTTCTGGTCCTCTGCTGCCCATGAAGACCAGCTAAAAGAGATCTGGGGATCTGCTTCTGAGATACCCAGTCCTATGTCTGGGTCCTAGCCAGGAGTTCCACCAGGCCTTCGAGCTGCCCCTTGGACATCTCTTGTGTGACCTCACCTGTGCACTGAGCATCCTCATAGCAAGGTGACAGGGTCAGCCTCACAGGCATTACTGCAGGGAATTTTCAGCAAATCTAATTGTAGTTCGACTATATAATTCAGGAATCATGTTTAGTGACTGAAATATTCACATACACAAAGAAACTGTATGGACATTCATTTACATTGCCCCCAAACTGCACACAAGTTGTATTATTCCTTATCCATTAATAAAATTCCAAGGATTGAATCATAAACTAAAAGATAACATTTATAGAACCAAACTTACAAATGAATAAGGTGAGTATGGTCAGAAAAATCAAGGTTGAGTTATTACCTGCATTCTAATGGTGGCAAGTTACGTAATGAAGCTGTGCTGATACAGGCTTCCGAGTGCTCTAGTTGATAACCTCCCGATGACAGCTGAGCAGCAATCTCTGGCGGTGGGAAAAACTAGAGTTTCCCCCACGTGGGACAGCACTCTGCCTTCATAGACATTCACTGGGTTTCTCTGCAGGCTCTGAGGTGTGCAGGCTCCTACCCCAGATTCTGCAGTCAGACAAGTCTCTGCGCCTTCCCAGGGGACACAAGGGATAGTGTGGATAAGCACCAGACATGCTCTACTCAAGGTCTCTGCACATGGAGAAAAAACAGTGAAAGTGGAAAATTCATGTTCTCAATTCATTGAACAATACCTAAGAAAAATGCAACAATGTGCCACGAACTAATGCAGAATTATAAATGAATGCAATTAAAATAAGTATGAAAATTACAATTGTTTACAGGTGCACATTTGTTTATATATTTTCTAATACAATAAGGTAAAAGCAGGTGTTCTCTATAAAAATCCAAAAACAGTGTGCTGACCCTGAGAATGCACCTCCCTGCCTCCTCCTACAGGCAGCAAAATGCACGTGGATCCGGTTTCCAGCAGCTGCTTTCTGACACCTGCGGCATGGCGTGTGCTGAGGCCCATGTCCTGTGGTCCACTCTAATGAAGGGACTGACTGCGCAGTGACTCGTAAGCAGAGCCATTTCGGAGAGTCACGGGGATCCCTGCAAGGTAGCACTGACTTGCACGAGACTTTCAATATGTTTTGCACCTTCCTTGCACAGCACAGAAGTATAGAAACCTTCCACCCAATCCTCCCTCCCTCTCTCCTTCACTCAGGGTCCGGCTTCCCCCATCTGCCATCAGCTTCACAGCCTCATTCCACCCCTGTGCATTTTCTCTCAAAGGGTGAGTGTACTTCTTACAGTAATTCAGGGAAACGTCATCCCATCTTGGAGTTTTCTGCTTCGAAAACCAATAATAACAGAAATGTTAGCAGAAAGGGGCCCCAGTTTGCAGCAAATCCACAGAGTGAAATGAAAGCAAGTTTATTACAAAAGCAAAAGTATAAAAAGTGGCTACTCCATAGGCAGAGCAGAGGTACGATCTGCCCTTTATCCATTTTTATGGTTATTTCTTGATTGCATGTTAAAGAAGGGATGGATTATTCATGAATTCCCCAGGCAACTCCTGAAGCTGAGGGTTCCTCCCTTCCCTTTTAGACCATACAGGGAAACTTCCTGATGTTACCATGGCATTTGTAAACTGTCATGGAGCCGGAGGGGAGTGTGTTTCAGCATGCTAATGCATTATAATTAGCATATAATTAGCAGTGATGGCAAACAGAGGTGACTTTCATTGCTGTCTTGGTTTTGGTGGGCTTTGGCCAGCTTCTTTCCTGTGACCTTCATCAGCAAGGTTTTTATCACTTGTGTCTAGTGCATTCCTCCTATCTCATCCTGTGATGAAGAACACCTTAACTTACTGGGAGTGTAGCCCAGCAGGTCTCAGTCTTATTTTGTCTAGCCCCTTTGCAAAATAAGGTTGTTCTGATTCCAAAGTTTTTGGCAAAGAAAATGTAGGACACATATTTATGAGCATGATTATATTGCCAAATATAAAACAAAATATAATAATGGAAACAGATAATTTTACGTGTCACCTTGACTAGACCACAGTCTCTCAATCACACACTAACCAGAGTGTGGCTTTAATGGCATCATACAGGTGTTAGGGGAGCCTGCCTTATTTTTTCATGAGTCAGAGTGTTCTAGATAATCCAGGTGGGGCTGAATCAATCAGAACCTAACAGAAGACAATGGAATGCCATGGTGGATGGCAGATGCAGGTCTTCCCGGGAATCCCAGCCTGTCTTTGACAATTGCCAGTGGTATTGATCTTAGGCATGCCTAGCCACACCCCACAATTACTGTTACCCAGAGCTCACAGCACAATGGAGTGTCCAATTATAGCTTTCCTCAGAGTCGGATGTGAGAGTCCAAACTCTGTGACCGTGTGAGAAGCACAAGGTCAGTTCTGCATCAACATCCCACTGGAGAAAACTAGTACTATTCCCTTCATGACTGATGTCCACTTCATTTTCCAAATGCTTCCATGCTAAGAAGACAGCAGGGATATCCAGGCAATGGGGACTGAGAAAGTCCCTCAGCCTACCCGGGTCCTGCAGACCTGAGCCCTGGGATTTTGACTAAAGACAACTAATTCTCTGTTTTTAGAGAAGAGAAGAAGAAAGGAAACTGTGAGAATCAGGTCTGCAGAGAAGGAAATGGATTAGCAGAAAGAGGGTCAACTGAATCAGTGTAAGTCAGATGTGCACAGTTTTACAAGACGAGGGGAAACAGCTGTGATGCCATCAGGTTTAAAGGACCCTGACCCTGGGTGAGCCTGCCTCTTGGCTCCTGATGAAACTCAAAGCCTGTTATAATAGAGATTCCCATGGAGGTCTCTGTCCCGATTCTAACTGGAAAACACTCCCCATGTTTCCATAGGATTCCTCAGGACTCTCATCCTGCCGACCACAGAAGGATTATCTGTCCCCAAAGTGACACTGCGGATCCTGTCGAGGTGAAGATGTGTCCTCCTGTTAAGAACAATCTTGCATGTTCTTCACATGTACCCCAAAACCTAAAATGCAATAAAAAAAAAGAAAGAAAGAAAGGAAGAAGGACAAAACGTTTTGCATTAAGAGACATCAACTGGTAGCACAGAATTGTGACTCTGGGAGGTTCCCTGGGGAGATGTGACAAGAGGCAGCCCCAGACCACGGCAGGAAGCCAGCCCTCAGCTGCACCTGCACCTGCCCCGGGACAGCCCCGTGCGCAGCGTCTGGGCGCCCACTGGCGGTCTGGGGAACCCCTGCAGGAGGTTTGTGTCCGGGCCCACACGGGCCTCCCCTCACTGTGTCTTGCACAGTAATACACGGCCGTGTCCTCGGCTCTCAGGCTGCTCATCTGCAGATACAGCGAGTTCTTGGCGTTGTCTCTGGAGATGGTGAATCGGCCCTTCACGGAGTCTGCGTAGTATATGTAACTACTACTGCTACTAATGTATGAGACCCACTCCAGCCCCTTCCCTGGAGCCTGGCGGACCCAGCTCATGCCATAGCTGCTGAAGGTGAATCCAGAGGCCGCACAGGAGAGTCTCAGGGACCCCCCAGGCTTTGCCAAGCCTCCCCCAGACTCCACCAGCTGCACCTCACACTGGACACCTGTAAAGAAAGAGACAGCGCCCTGATCAGAAACGGCCACACACATCCACTGTTCCCCTCGATCATGTCCCCTCACACTCAGTGTCTCTAGTTCTCCGTGAATTACCTTTCAAAACAGTAACAAGGAAAACCCAGCTCAGCACAGACTCCATGATTGGTGGTCTGTGTTCAGTGCTGATCACCAAGTGGAAACTCCTGGGAATCCCAGGGCCGGGGCTCCTCTCCCAGAGCTGCAGGGTCAGGGCTGGGCTGGTTTTTATCAGCAGAGGTAGGGCCGTATTTGCATGTCTCCTGCTATATAGCAAGCTCTGGGGTGAGATGCCTGAGGAGAGGATGGAGCCCAGATAAGGTGACTGTGCCTTCCAGGTGTTTGGTGACAATGATGGTACTTGGAAATTATACTGTCTTCTTATAAAATTATTCTGTGATAAACACTTTGAACTGAGTGCCCTATTTTAGTTTTGCATATTCATGTATATTACGTTTTCTTTGGGTCAGTGTTTCTCCATGTACAGATGTGGAAGCACACCACACATGGGAAAGGGGCTCTGTGTGTGTCTAGGAGCTCATGCCTGGATGAGTAAGCCCTGGTACCTGGGCCTGTGCTCCTCAGCACGGGACCCCAATGACTCCCTGAGCCAACTCTAGGACAGAGGGTGGTTTGAAGAACCCACTTTCTGTAGTGAAAACATGTGTGCTGCATTCCAGAATTCACTAAAACTATGATGGGAACCATGGTTCAGGCAGATACATTCTTAAGAATGTCTGAATTCAATATACCCTTTTCCTATCTTTCTATCATTCCTTCCTTGTCTAAGTTTCAATTTGTTTTCTTGTAATAAATTGTGTAAGTTTTAGTTTACAGATGGTAAACTTCAACATATTTAAAGTGAACAGTTGTAAACATGATTTAACCGTCATTGTTGTCAAGGTGGACAAGAGAATTCTCAGCATTTCCTTTTGTTCTTCTGTGTTCTTTCTCCTTTTTCCTCTTGTTTCTTCTACCATTCCCCTGGTGACTACTGATTTTTACCTTGCTGCACATTCATTTCAATTTATCAGAATTTAAAACAATCAAATAACATAGTATACATTGTTAATTGTTTGGCTTATTTTACTTGCCATAAATAATTAGATATTTTACCTTGTAGTTGGGTATATTGGACATTTATTTAGTATAAATGTTGGGTAGTATCCTAGTAAAATTTTACTGTAAATTGTTTTTCTAGTAAGCACCTTAAAAATTTGACTTTTTACAAATTATTTTGGGTCTTAATAAAAATCTACTATTAAACTTGGAAATGTACATAGGAAAGGAATATTTTTCTTATTTTTTACAACTGCATCAACGATAGCAGATAAACATAGAAGATGGAATTTTGCAAATTTTCTTAATATTTCCAATATTTAAAGTTTGAAAACAAACAAGAAATCCAACGTTTAAGGGAAGCAAGTTCTTGTAGAGCGTAACAAAGCTAGGGTTTGAAACTACCTAAGGAGGGTCTGGAATGTGAAACATGGGCTACTCCAAGAAAAAATAGAACTATAAATTGGATTGCTGGAAACGAGTATGGTAAATGTACTGCAGTGTGGAATTTTAAGGAACCGTGTACTGAAAAGCTTTCCTATCCTCTTGAATCCCTTTTCTCAAGAAACAGGACAGTCACAAAAATCTTCCTTTCCTGAACGTCTGTCTGGAAGAGAACAAGAACTCCCACTTCTAAAATGTATTCAGACCCAACTCCCTATTGTCACTACAGAACTAGGAATGTACTCTGCAGGGGCAAGCCACTGAAACCTAGGGGCTTAGGGGCGCTGGTTCAACCCCTCAGGTATTGTCATGGGAACCGAGGTCCCCACCAAAGATCTGTTGAGAAGCAGCTCCCCTCTCTTTCTTATGAAATCAGAGCCTTAGTCTGCAGTGCAGGGCAGCACTTCTGGAGGGCGATGACACCAACGGAGAACACTGGAGATGCGGGAGGAAACATCTGGGAAAACGGGAGGACTCTACCCCAGGGGAAGGGGCAGGAACACACAGACCAGCTTCTCATCTGGGGAAGGGGCAGGAACACTCGCAAGGTCATGCCGAGACTCGGGGTCACAATGTCTTTTTAGGAATACGGACCCAGGAATCTTACCTGTTTAGTCTAATGCCTTTTACCATTTAAAAAAATCGTCAGTTAAATAAAACACTTGAATGTACCTGAGGGAGCAGAAAGAGATTCTTGGGAAGACAGAACAAGGTGAAGAGACAAAGTCAAGCAGAAAAGACAAAGAAGGTATTGGGGGATCTGTAATCCATGGTGGGCATAGAAGAACAGACTTCAGTTAGTTTTTAAAACCTTTATATCTGTTGATAGTAATTTATATGATGAAATTGCCAGCCTCGGCAATGGAATCTTATTATCCCCTTCAGGGATGAGTGTCCATTGGGCATGTGGTGAAGTTCTAGTCATGGGGGCAGGGGAGATGGTCTGTTGAGGTGCTCCTGGTCCTTCAGAGGAGAATTGCAAAAATGTCTCTTCCCCACTTCCAGGGATATTTAATACATTGGTTACTCTTGGGAATGTTGTCTCCATGTCACGACATCATGGGAGTCACCTGAGGGGTGAAGCTGACTTTCTGGATGCATCAGTGTGGAAAACTGAGAAAAGAAACTGCCTGGGCACATGAGCTGTCAAACTATTCAATCCTGGAGCCACTCACATCCAGCCTTCTTGTTTCATTAGGTTGTGATTTTCCTCAATGTTTGGTCAGCCTAGGCTGTCTCTCTTCCCTCTCTGCTGAAATAGTCACACATAATAATCTAGAGGCATTAAGATAAATAAGTAGCTAATTTTAAAATTAGAACAAGTCCCAAGTGCAGTCAGAGTTACCACGTGGTTAATAACGTGATAGGCAGGAGATATGGATGGATAATAAGAGTGTGCTCATGTCAATTTCCTCTATATTAGCAAAATATTTTCTATATCCCTTACATGATATTCCCATTTTGATCCTTGACTTAACATTAATTCTTGATAAGTAACACCTAAATAATAAAGTGGTAGTTATTATCCAATAATTTATATTACTAGTACAAACTTTTATTTAAGGTGTATTGCCCTACCGATGTAAATTCAGCCCCAAAGGCAGAAGTTATTGCACTTAATTAAATAAATACAGATATTCTACAGTGGTGCATAATTGTAAAAGATGCTGCATGCAAAGGAGGATTTTAAATCTTCAAGAAGCTCCATGAAAATGAACAACAAGAAAACACACTTGGAAGTAATTCCTGTATTCTAGAGACCTGACATAGAAATTTGAAACTAAATACAAACAAAGAAAAAAACAAATATCCAGTATGGAAACTAGAATAACGCTATGTTGCATCACGACCAGCAGGAAGCACTGGCTGTGATGGGGATGCAGAGACCGCACAGGCGAGGGGAGGGTCTGCGAGGGCTTCCCCAGGCCAGGAGTGCACCGAGAACATGGCTGTCGGCATCACCGGTTCTGAAAAACACACTGAAACTCACAATATGCACGTTTTGATGCATAAATAAAAACAGGATGGCACTGGCATTAATATATATAGAGAGAGCTCAGAAATAAAAGGATATGTCAACGGCAAACTGATTTTCAGTATGTGAGCCAACAATATAAAATGTAGAAATCAAGGTCTCTCCCTAAGAGGGTGTTAAACTGCATCTACACATGCAAAGAATTAAGAATTTTAGTTTAGAATGAACACAAAAATCACATTTAAATAGTTAAACGTATGGCTTGCAATTGTAAAATTTCCCCCACCCAGAAAATAATATTAAGAACGATTTTCTGTATTTCAAATTGAAGGCACAGACAACAAACGCACAAGTGAACGGGTGGAAATGCATCACAACAGAAAGATTCCGCAAACCATGGAAACAACTCCAGCCTACAGAATGGGAGAATGTAATCCCACACCATGAATCTGAAAATGCGTCAAAATCCAAAACAACTCATTAGCAAAATCATAATTGTGTGATTGTGAAGTGGTCAGTTTTACACCTTAACAAACTTAAGAACATAGATCTCATGTTAAAGACTTTTCCCTCTGGGTAGTGGTAAGTGTTATGGTGCACTTGGTAAGGGTAGACTTTGTAATTATTCAATCCAACACTAATATAGGTGGTGTTAGCCGGGCAAGGCGGCTCACGCCTGTAATCCCAGCACTTTGGGAGGCTGAGGCGGGTGGATCACCTGAGGTCAGCAATTTGACATCAGCCTGACCAATATGGAGAAACCCTGTCTCTATTAAAAATACAAAAATTAGCTGGATGTGGTGGCGTCCACCTGTAGTCCCAGCTACTCAGGAAGCTGAGACAGGAGAATTGATTTAACCTGGGAGGTGGAGGATGCAGTGAGCCAGGATCACACCATTGCACTCTAGCCTGGGTGACAGAGTGAGACTCTGTCTCTCTCTTTCTCTATATATATATATATATATATATATATATATATATACATATTTTATACATATTATATATATATGCATATTATATATGATGTGAATTTATTTAATAGATGTTATTAAAACTGTCATCAGCTAAGTCTAGGTTAGGTAGTTTGCCATTGATAAAATTTGTGGGCCCGATTCCACCAGAGCAGAACTGGAGAAAATGTAATTCCATGGTGATTCAGCAGCTTCACCTCCCTATGGCACTTCCAGCATGTGCTTACTGACAGATGATCCTATGGACATTGGATGTTCCTAGCCACCTCCACAAACTGTCATCCTCTATGTATCACAGAAATGTGGCCTGTCCATCTGTAGCTTGTCAACCCTGAATAATAAACAGAGAGGGACTCTAAAATATAATAAAATTTATTTAAGGATTGGTATTGAAATTGAAACACGTATGGGTGCATTCAGGTTGGTAAAAGAAAGATACATAATTCAGGAAAAATGAGGAGGGTTACATCAGCTGTTTTGAGACAATTATCCTGGGCTAGAAGGATCAATACAGAGGTGACATTGGTGTGAGGTGGAACGGGCAGTTGTTGGAGAAGAAATTCTTTTAAGGTTGTGGTGGCCTCTGTGCAAGGTGGTGGCTGTGCAGAGTCTATTTATGACAGTTCTTGCTATCAGGAATATGTGTGTTAGACCCTGCTTCACGGCCTTCCTTCATTCATTGGGGTTTTAACACACGTGGCTCCATTTTGATTCTAATACATTTCACAAGCTCTTTCTACCTCTTTCTAACTCTTTCTAACTTTCATAAGCTCTTTTGAAGCAGATGACTCTGACACTTTGCATAGAACAGGGTTCATTCCACATACACACCCCATTTTGATCAAATAAGTTCATCCCCTTCATTATTAACGGCCAATTGCTGTCCCAGGTGAGTCTACACACAACACAGTGGAGGGTCCTGAGCAAATGGGGGAGAAGGAAGCCCCATCAGCCTCTCCCACGTGGCTGCAGGAGCCACAGCCTGAGCCCCACCTGCGCTCCAAGAAAATGCCTTGAGGCCTGGAATGGAGACCATGGAGACCATCTGTTTCTTTTTCAGGAAGCAGGAAAAGCAAATAAAAAAGGGAGAACCAGCACTGCAAAGGAAGGACAGGGAGTGGGAGCAAAGGAGCCCCGGGTCCCTGCTGATGCGATTGGCTTTAGTGTCAGGAGAAGGGTCAGACGTGAAACCTGTGAGGTTCTACACGACACCGAACCCGGCCCAGCCTCTCCATTGTCTGAGGCCAAAATTCCTAACGACTGTTCTAGTCCGGGAATCTCCCTGAGGTTTCTGTCCTGGGTCTGATTGGAGAAGACTCGCCAGGCGCTGCTGAGCTTCCTCAGGACTCTGATGCTGGTGACCACGGTTGAGGACTTTTCATCTCTGTAAGCGTCATCTGCATTTGCTGCATGTGAAAATAAGTCCACATGTTAAAATGATCTTTTAAAAAATACGTAGAGATGACATTAGGAAACACAGAATTCTAAACTTAGAGAGTTTCACTAGAGAAACTGTGAGAGGAGGATGAAGACCCACATCCTGACAGGAAATCAGCCTCCATCTGCACCTGCCTCTGGGGTTGACTCTGATCAGTGGCTCCTGAGCACCCCCTGCAGCTGATTCCCCTGAGTGTTCCTGCAGGAGGTTTGTGTCCGGGCCCACACGGGCCTCCCCTCACTGTGTCTTCGCACAGTAATACACGGCTGTGTCCTCGGTTTTCAGGCTGCTCATTTGCAGATACAGCGTGTTCTTTGAATCATCTCTTGAGATGGTGAATCGGCCTTTCACAGACGCGGCGTATTCTGCTGTTCCACCATCAGCTTTGTTTTAATAAAGCCTAACCCACTCCAGCCCCTTCCCTGGAGCCTGGCGGACCCAGTCATGTAGTAGTTACTGAAGGTGAATCCAGAGGCTGCACAGGAGAGTCTCAGGGACCCCCCAGGCTGAGCCAAGCCTCCCCCAGACTCCACCAGCTGCACCTCACACTGGACACCTGCAAACACAGAGACACCCTTGTCATTAACTGCCACACAGATCCACTGTTCCCCTCACTCATGTCCACTCGCACTCAGTATCTCTAGTTCTCCATAAATCACCTTTAAAAATAGCAACAAGGAAAACCCAGCTCAGCCCAAACTCCATGGTGAGTCCTCTGTGTTCAGTGCTGATCACTGAATAGAAACACCTGGGAATTCTGGGGCTGGGCTCCTCTCCCAGAGCTGCAGGGTCAGGGCTGGGCTGGTTTTGATGAGCAGAGGGAGGGCCCTATTTGCATGTCTCCTGCTACAAAGCAGGCTCTGGGTGGCACAGCTGAGGAAAGGGCAGGGCCCAGAGCAGATGAGAGTGTCCTGGAAAACACTGGAGGTAATCCTGTCTCTCAGGAAAATGTAACTTCAGATTATCTGATTGTGCCTTGATAATTATTTAGCAATCATCATCTTATTTTATTTTTATATATTTGGAGAATATCTTTAATGCAAGTGTCAGTGTCAGAGTTTTAGAGAAGATAAATTACACATAGCACAGAGTGGTTGTGCAGTGTGTCCAATATCACACATCTGGACAGTGTCAGCCCCATTACCTGTGCCTGTGCCTCTAAACACTGAAGAGACTGCTCCCCTAGACAGCTCCCGGGCGATGTGGGACATGCTTAGTGAGAGTTCAGGATGTCCCACCTGTCACAACCTTTTGAGATTTTGCTTCCCTAACGTTATAAGTGGGGCCCTGTGGTTGTATCATGGGAGCAGATTTATAATAAATGGTTTAGCATCATCCCTTTGCTGTAATAGTAAATGGGGTCTCATGAGATTTGGCTGTTTAACAGTGTGTAGCATCTCCACCCTCACTCTTCCTTTGCTCCTGCTCCTGCCATATAAAGTGTCTGCTCCCTCTTTGCCTTTTGCTGTCATTGTAACTTCCCTGAGGTCTCCCCAGAAGCTGAACAGATTCCATCATCATGCTTCCTCTACAGCCAGCAAAATCATGGGTAAATCAAACCTCTTTTCTCTATAAATCACTCAGTTTCAGTTCTTTCTTTCTGGCAATGAGAGAACAAACTAATAAAGTGGACATCTCCCCCATTTCACCAGTGCCCCTTGCAGCCTGCATATTCCCAGCTAAGGAGGGGGATTACTGACACCATCTAGGTGCTGCCCAGGCGGGGATGGTTTGTGATGGATGCCATTTTACTAGAAGAACATAGATCTCATGTTAAAGGTTCTTCTCTATGTGTTATGGTTAGTTTTCTGGTACCCGTGGTTAAGGTAAACTATAGTTATTCAATCCAACATTAATATAAGTGATGATGTCAACTTACGTAATAGATGTTATTCAACCTGTCATCAGCTGACTCTAGGTTAGGTAGATTGTTGTTGATAAAATGGTTGGGCCTGATTCCATCAGAGCAGAACTGGAGAAAATGAAATTCCATGGCGATTTGGCAGCTTCACCTCTCTCTGGGACTTCCAGCCTGTAATGACTGATGGATGATCTTATGCACGTTGGATATCCCTAGCCACCTCCAAAAATAGTCATCCTCTATGCCTCACAAAACAGTGGCATCTTCATCTGTTAGTCTGTCAACTCTGAATAACAGAGAGAGACTCTAAAATACAAAAATATTTATCCAAAAATGGATATTGCATTTGAAATATGTGTGGGTGCATTTGGGTTGGTAAAGGAAGATAAAGAATGAAAATGAGGAGTGTTACATCAGCTGTTTTAAGACAACTATCATGGACTAGAAGGGTTAATAACAGGTATGACATTGGTGTGAGGTTAATAGGCAGTTGCTGGGCAGATACATTTAGAGAAGCAATTCTTTTAAGATTATGGTGGCCTGGTCCAGGTGCAGTAGCTCACACCTGTAATCCCTGAATTTTGGGAGGCCGAGTCAGGTGTATCACCTGAGGTCAAGAGTTCGAGGCCAGCCTGGCCTACATGGAGAAACCACATCTCTACTAAAACTACAAAATTAGCTGGGTATGCTGCTGTATGCCTGTAATCGCAGCTGCTTGTGGGGCTGAGGCAGGAGAATCGCTTGAACCCAGGAGGCAGAGGTTTTGGTGAGCCAAGATTGCACCATTGCAATCCAGCCTGGGCAACAAGGGTGACACTCCATCTCAAAAAAAAAAAAAAAAAAAAAAAAAAAAAAAAAAGACAGGAAAAACAGAAAAGATTGTGGTGGCCTCTGTGAAAGCTTGTGTCTGTGCAGAGTCTACTTATGGCAGTTCTTGCTATCAGGAATATGTGTGTTAGACCCTCCTTCATGGCCTTCCCCAGCTTCATTCATTGGGGTTTTAACACAAGTGGCCCCATTTTGATTCTGATACATTTCACAAGCTCTTTCTAACACCAATTCTGAAGAAGATGACTCTGACACTTTGCATAGAATAGGGTTATTTCCACATCCACATCCCATTTGTATCAAATAAGTTTATCCCTTTCACTATTAACAGCCAATTGCACTCCCAGATGAGTCTACACACAACACAGTGGAGGGTCCTGAGCAAATGGGAGCACATAATTCTAAACTTAGAGAGATTAACTAGAGAAACTGTAAAACGACAAAATCCCACATTCTGACAGGAAATCAGCTCCATCTGCACCTGCCTCTGGGGTTGACTCTGACCAGTGGGTCCTGAGCGCCCCCTGCAGCTGATTCCCCCGAGTGTCCCTGCAGGAGGTTTGTGTCTGGGCTCACACGGGCCTCTCTCACTGTGTCTCTCACACAGTAATACACAGCCATGTCCTCGGCTCTCAGGCTGTTCATCTGCAGATACAGCGAGTTCTTGGCGTTGTCTCTGGAGATGGTGAATTTACCCTTCACGGAGTCTGCTTAGCTTGTGCTACCCCTATCATAACTAATGAATGAGACCCACTCCAGCCCCTTCCCTGGAGCCTGGCGGGCCCAGTGCATGTTAGAGCTACTGAAAGTGAATCTAGAGGCCGCACAGGAGAGTCTCAGGGACCCCCCAGGCTGGACCAAGCCTCCCCCAGACTCCACCAGCTGCACCTCACACTGGACACCTGCAAACACAGAGACACCCTGGTCAGAAACTGCCACACAGATGCACTGTTCCCCTCACTTATGTCCACACATACTCAGTATCTCTTGTTCTCCATGAATCACCTTTAAAAATAGCAACAAGGAAAACCCAGCTCAGCCCAAAATCCATGGTGAATCCTCTGTGTTCAGTGCTGATCACTGAATAGAAACACCTGGGAATCCGGGGCCTGGACTCCTCTGCCAGAGCTGCAGGGTCAGAGCTGGGCTGGTTTTCATCAGCAGAGGGAGGGCCCTATTTGCATGTCTCCTGCTATATAGCGAGTTCTCGAAGGGATGCCCAGAGGAGCTGTATCCCAGAGAGGATGTGAGTGATTATTCTTCATAAATAATTAATTCTCATTTGCATTTCTACTTTTAGATGCACAAGAAGTATGTTCTGTAGGAGTCAAATTTTCCTACATTTACACATGTGAATGTCAACCCCCAAGTGTGGAGGGGCCATGTCACATGTCTAAGAGCTCACATCCGGTAAGAGCCAGTCTCAGTGTCTGGCCTGTGTTCCTCAGGACTGGATCTGACTGCTCCCTAGATTAACTCTAGGACTGAGCAAGAAATTTCCAGTGAGGTTTATGAAACTCTTTTCTTATAATAATATCATGACATTATTTGGCTATATCTTAGTGTTTTCCTTAATAATACTGAAAAACTGAGTAGTAATTCATATATGTATTCAGAAGTCTATGACTTGACTTCTTTGTATTATTTTTACCTCTTTTAATCATTTTCTACCAAATCATACATTTTTATTTGTAGTAGTTTTAATGAGATCATATTGACAAATAACAATCTTCACACAAATATTTACATAATCAACACCATTCACAGAGAAAACAAATCAGTTACCCCACAATTTTCTCTTTTTCTCCTGCAATTTCCCCTGCCTACACCTTCCATCCTTTTACCATGGAGAAGTCAGTTTGGGATCTTTGTGATATAATTTGCAATAAATATTCAATTTGCACAGTTTATAAAATTGAATTATATATATGTACTTTCATACACATTATACATAAACATTAATACACATTAGAGTAGATGTAGTGGAGGGTGGCTAGTGGTGGAATGAGAAGACGCCACAGAACCCCATCTCCAGTGCCTTTCCCTGCCTGCTGCGCCTGCCCTGATGCTGAGCCTTGAGCCTGCCTGACCACTGAGCCCCACAACGGTCCTGAGCCCCCACGTGGTGCCAAGTGCCCTCTGGGTTTCCCTGCTGGTTCCTAAGTTTCAGCTTCTGTTTCAGCACCCCCTGCTGTCCTGTGAACCCCCACAGGAAGGTGTGTGTCTGGGTTCACACGGGTGGCCTAAGTACTTGTGAATTTAACCATGCTGTTGATTGTATTCAACATTAATTGATTGCAGTAGTGGATACTATGCCAATATATGACTTTCCCAAAATTCGTCTACTGATAAAACTGCTGATTAATATTTTGATTATTTTCAGTTTCTGTGTATTTCATACAAACTGCTGCTCAGCTTAGAGGACTACACAACTGAGAAACGTGTTCTTAATCTTACAACAACGTGAACAACAGCTAAACTGGTCAAGCTGCAAATGAATCAGTTTTCTTTAAAATACATAATGTAAGTAAAGTTATAGCATCCTGTGCATTTATCAGTGTATGTGAGAGAAAGAAAGAAAGAAAGAGTGAGGAAAGGAGATTGAAAGAGAAAGTGATTCTACATCATCTTTAATTTATAAAATCTTCAAATACAGGAACTTATTCCTAATAAACAGGGTCCATGTAAGTTGAAGAGAGTAACTTGATGCACTCACATATGGCTATGTATATAATATAAATATTATTTTCCAGACATGTAAACACTCAAACACGTTAGAGTCGATTTAGTGGAGGGTGGCTAGTGGTGGAATGAGAAGAAGCCACAGAACACCATCTCCAGTGCCTTTCCCTGCCTGCTGCACCTGCCCTGATGCTGAGCCTTGAGCCTGCCTGACCACTGAGCCCCACAATGGTCCTGAGCTCCCATGTGGTGCCAAGTGCCCTCTGGGTTTCCCTGCTGGTTCCTGAGTTTCAGCTTCTGTTTCAGCACCCCCTGCTGTCCTGTGAACTCCCACAGGAAGGTGTGTGTCTGGGTTCACACGGGTGTCCCCCACTGTGTCTTTTGCTTGAAAACACATGGTTGTGTGCTTGTTGCTCACATTGCTCAGCTGCAGGAAGATCTGTTTTTTGGGCACAGATCTGGAGGTAGTGACTGGACCCTAGAGGAAGTGGGTTGGAATTTCTGCTCCTTCATGACCTGTGCACCTGACCCACTCCAGTCCCTCCCCTGGGGCTGATTGATCCAGCTCCAGCAAGAAGCACTGGATGTGATGCGGAATCCAGTATTAAAACTGAAATGTGTCATTTTGATTTAAGTACCGCATCTATTATAGATAAAGCTGATTGACTTCAGAAGCATTGGTAACTTATAGACACTGAGAAATAGGAGTGACTATAGGTGACTCTGCCTTTGGTACATGTGAGAAAGTTTTTCTCTTGGTACAACACATATTTCTTCTTCAGAGACTTCACAGGTAAGAACAGGTTAAGGAATCCAGAGAAGAGCCCCAGAGGAAACTATTTTATGGAGAGGAAGCCAGAGTGACAGGAAACCAGACCTTAACCCCATCTGCCCTTGCCCTGAGGCTGGCTTTTGCGAAGTGTTTCCTGAGCACCCCTCGGTGGTCCTGTGCCCACGTCAGGGAGGCTTGTTGGTGAGCTCACACTGACATTTTTTCTAACAATTTTACTCCCCACAAAGACAGAGTAAACAATGAATCCATGTGTCTCAGGAACAAAGAACAGCAGGATCACACCCCCTGTACCCCACCACAAACACATTTAGGTATATCTTACTAAAACTGCTGAAAATCAAAGACAAATAGAAATACACGCAGGCAAGTGGACGTGAACAGAGAGGGCATTCCTTCCAAAAGAACAGAAAAGGTGATGACGGCATTCTTCTGGATAAACCCTTACAACTAGAGGAAAGTTTATGGTATCTGTAAAGTGTTGGAAGGAAAGCCAACTCATTGTTTTATAATTTATGGATGTTCTCTAAAAAGTGAAAAAATAAACAGTTCCATTTGTCTTTGAAAGCCTGAGGGTCTCAATGAATCCATGCCCTCATGAGACCAGTGAAAGTAATTTTGAAAAATTACAGGGTTTGGAAAGGCCCTAACAGCATACAGCAAGTGAAAGCATTTATTCAAGAAAATTGACAAAACTCAGTAAGGCCAGTCATCGCATTAGATCTAAGATGCTCTTCCTCCCTTCCACATCGCAGCTCAGCATGATGTAAACTCCACTGCAGACAGATGCAGCTGAGAAGACAGGACACCTGCTACCCAGCTCCCATCGAGGAAACTCTGCCCCAGGGACCAGGACATTGGCCCTCTGATCCCTGCCAAGAGCACATGATGCTGAGGCTCAGATCTGGACAAGAGCTAATGAGAAACAGAGAGTTGCTTCTTCCATGGAACCACTCATGGATGGAGGCTCTGCCCTGGGCCCAGTGCCGGGACATTGGGTCCCTGGTTTCTAGCTCTGCTCCCATGGCAGAGGCTTCACCCCACCAGAACTGGAGTGCTGAGAAGGTGGGAAGCTTCTGTCTAAACCTCCACTCAGCACTGAGCTTCTACACTGAGGAAGAAAAAAGCCCATCATTGTCTCCATCTGCAGAACCTTGGTTAGGAGCTCTGTCCCAGGAGAGAGTGGGTGCTCATAAAATATGACCCGTTAATTTGGCTCCAAACATCCTAACTTCAGTGACAACAGAATGTGGAAAAGTTCAAAACCTGCCAGTGTTCTCAAAATCAGTGGAGGGTGCCTTGAAAGGTCCTTGAAAGGAGACAGGTGGATGCCTGGGAGACAGAGGCTGAACCGAGAATGGGGAGGGCTGGGGGAGGTTCTCTTGTGGTTGGAACAAATGCCAGACATGATTCAAAGTGTCCCACGTTTGTTTGGTTCAGTCTGTGAACCAAACTTACAGTTCAGTAAGTATAATGTCCTCCAGTTCTATGCATCTTGATGCAAAAGACACAGTTTCATTCTTTTTTGTGGCTGATTAGTATCAAATTGGGTGTACATGGTACATTCTTTCATGAAATCATCTGTTGGATGACACTCAGGTTGACATAGATGCTGTTGAGAATAGTTTTGTGGTAAACATAGAAGTGTGGGTATCTTTTGAAGTAATGATTTATTTTCCTTTGCCTAGTTACCCAGTAGTGGAATTGTTGTGTCAAATGGCAGGTCTATTTCTAGTTATTTTTGGAAATATCCATATCATTATCCACAGAAGTTGTATTTGTCCACATCCTCATCAACAGTGTCTAAGAGTTCCCTTTACTATCCATCTTCAGAAACATCTGATATTTTTGAGTTTCTAGCAATAGTCGTTTTGACTGGTGTCAGACAAGAGCTTGTTGTGGTTTTAATTTTCATTTCCCTGACGGTTAGGGATGTTGAGCATTGTTTGTATATGTAGCATCCATTTTTAGGTGTGCTTTAAAAAATGTCTACTGATGTCCTTTGCTCATTTTAATGGGGGTATTTTGTTCTTGTTCCTATGTTGTAGAGTTGATTGAATTGCTTATGAATTCTTCATATTGTTTCCTGTCACAGGCAAGGTGTGCAAAAATGTTGCAACCTGCCTGTTTAGTCTGTTGCTGTGAAAAAAAAAAACTCTGTGGGTTAATTAAATCTCATGTGTCTACTTTTTTCTCAGGTATGCTTTTGGGGTCTTAGTCATAAATTATTTACCTAGTCCAATGCCCAGAAGAGTTGTCCTGGTGTTTTCTTTGAGTGCACTTATAGTTGAAATATTACAAGTAAGTATTTAATTCACTTTGTGTGGAGTATGGATGTGTTGAGTGTGAGAGTCTAGTTTTGTTCTTCTGCATTTGCCATCCAATTTCCCCAGCACCATTTATTGAATGGGATGTCCTTTCCCTGGTGCACATTTTTGTTAATTTTTGTTAACTTTGCCAAAGATCACTTGGCAATAGATTGTGTAGCTCAATTCTGGGTTCTGTACAATGTACCCGAGAGCATTGATTCACCCGGGGCCTCGGTACTGACCTGCTCACTGCTTGAACTTTGTTGATCAGTGGAGTTTCTATGACTGTAGTGATTCAATGTCATGGGAGAGCTTTCCTAAA